GCCGCTGACTCGTCCCTGCTCCGGCACAGTGAATCACAGTACCTACATTTCCCACCCTCGGCTTATATTCGGGTCAATACTTTTTCCCAGTTTTTTTTGGTAAAATTAGGTACCTCGGCTTATATTCGGGACGGCTTATACTCGAGTATATACGGTATTTATTGACGGCAGCAGAACCGCTCAGCCAATAGAAAACAGTTTAGCGGAGCTAGCTATCACTGCTAGCTCTGCACAATCATTTTCTATTTTTTTTTTGCTTTTTTAACTATTTTTCTATTCTGCTCGGTACCCCAGAGGCATTCAGAGGCTTAGCGGCATTCGGCTATTTACTCACTGCTGTTCGGCATCTGTAAGAATAGACCGAACAGCAGCGAGTAGCCTGCCGGAGGTTCGGCTCAGCAGATCCTGATACTGGATCGGCTGAGTCGAACTCCTTCTGCACTTCGCCACACTAAGCCACCCGATGTACGGCTGATTTCAGCCGATATACGGCTGAAATTAGCTGTACAAGCCTGAAGTGAATAGCCGAACAGCGTTTCGGCTCACTTCGGGTCAGTTATTCACTCGGCTGCCTACGGCAGCTTAGTGAATAGACCCCTTAGTTATTACTAATTAGCTCTAAATAACTCTCCCTTTTCCTTCAGCCGTTAGCTATAACTTTTTTGCTAATTCATTGTTTTATATACTTTTTTTTACCATTCATATGTAAAGTTTTTATTTTGTTTTTGTTAGTTTTGTTCATTCTTTGTTGTTGCAGTGATTCAACAAGTACACAAAATGTAAACCCACCTTCATTTCCCTAACCATGTTTTCTAGCAATCGTTATAAACAGTGACTGGTTTGATGGTATATTTTATTATGCAGTGACACATAAGGGTCTATTTTTAAACAATTTGCAGGGTGAAGGGTGAATAATGCCAAAAACAAACATTCTTAAAGTAGTATTAAAAGCCCTTACAGTCATCATGTTTCTGAACAGCTTCCCTTGACTTCCTGTCCAGTTCAAGATCTCAAGGGAGAGCAAAGTCTCCAGCAGCTGTCCAAGTGTCCATGTGCTAGCTTGGAGAATGGATAATAAGGGAGGGAGCAGGATCCTGAAGGAGCCAGCCTAAAACAGGATTTCAGGACCAGTGCTCAGGGGACCAGCTGATTCTGCAGGAAACTATCACTTTTAAACATCAAGAAGCAGTATTCATTGTAAGTGATTTAATCAGCTTCAAAACATTTATGCGCTTTCAGAAAATATATGGTTTGGGGGGTCTTTTACAAACGCTAGCAACGCAGCAGTTGAAAATCAAATCAATAGGAAAAAATTGCAGAAAATTCAAAAATGGCTTGGCCAGCTGATTTGAAAAATGTTCCGGAGGGCTTGGCAGCGAAAGGGTTAATATATTTTTCCCAGTTCAATTGTAGTGTTGTAATACATTGTGGCCACTAGATGGAGTTTCCCAATTCAAATGTAGTTTGCTGATGTAATAATAAATATTTATTTTCTATGCTTCTCAGCGCTAGCTAGTGGTCATAATGTATTATTACAACAATACACTACATTCAAACTAGGAAACTCCATCTAGTGGCCACAATGTGCAGCTGTTTTGTGGTCTACAGATTAAGCCTATATAGGTGAATTGCCAAAACCGTCATTGGTACAAGGTATCCAGAAGCCTTAAATAAGAAATCCAGGAAATATAAAAAATAGATCCTTACACTGCTAAAGCCCGGGGGAGAAGAGGCTGCAGGGAACAGTCTAGTAGCCCAGTAGGACTGTGGATAAGGTGAGTATAATTTCTTTATTTTAGCCCCTAGAGCAAAACAAGGAGTTAACCCTTGCAGTGCATTAGATTTCCAGCAGTTCTTTAACAGAGATTCCTGGTTTGGGGAGGATCATAGTATTAATAGACATCTCTCTAACACCAGGTTCCGCAGTAGAAAACAAAGATGGCTGTGGATATAACCTGATATAATTTTGCAAACATGTTAAAACTATTTTGCTTCTTACACTATACTCTCAAATAGGTGGCCCTGTTGCTTGTGTATTCATTTTCATAGAACACCACTGAACACCCAAAACAAGAATAAAACAATCCAACTCACTATCAAATGGTCAAAGTTAAAAGCAATTCTACTTGTACTGCTCTTTTTGACAGACGTGCAGTGGAGAGGCCACTGAATTGGGTTGTACTGTATAACACAGGAAGGGGTTGAATAGCTGCAATAAATTGAATAGAAAATAAGAGGCTAAGTCCAGAAGCATTTGGAAAGGAGACTGTTAGGGGCAAGATGGTTCACCCTTACATCAGTGCACAAGGGACTGTATTTTCTTACCTGTGGAAATAGCTATGCTAGTATGGAGTTCTTTATGAATACGATTTGCACGGCGGGCTAATTTTTTTCCTTTAATATCTGCAGAATATTTCCATTTTCTGGAAGCTGTGTGATTGCCCTATTGTTTGCTCATTACATATCATTTCAGTATGACTCCCCAGAGCCTCAGTTACTGTTGTTTATGGACATTGCCTGTTTATTTAGGACAAGAATATGGCTCCTTTGAGTAACATACTGTGTAGGCTTGAGAGGAGTTATGCATTGTGCTCCCAGGAGCTTTTAAACACAAGTAGAATTTTGAAGAATACAAAGTTTCAATTACATTTCAATTACTCCTCTGTGAGAAAATCTTTTATCTTGTTCTGAGAGGTAATGCAAGGCACATTAAAACATACATAAATCATTTCTGGTTTATTATATCGCCCATAATATACAAAGCTCTAATGCATACTAGCTTTGGTCAAGTGCAAATATCCTGCTATATAGTTATCACCACAAATTGAAGATGCTTTTTAACTTGTTGCTATAAATATACCAGGTAAGAAAAAAACCTTTATAATTAAACTTTGTTTAATTTTCCTCTCATGAATCCTCATTATGCTCAGTTATACACAGTTCTAACGACCTTCATTGCGCCCAAATATTTTATGTGGAAATTACTGCATACAATGTTTTGTTTAGTAAAAAGTATGTTTTTACTGTAAATATATATACAGTGTGTATACACTGAGTGGCCGGATTATTATGACCACCCCATCAGTACTTCGTTGGGCCATGAGATGACTCCACGAGATGACTTTGTTGGGCCGCCTCGTGACTCCACTAGATGGTGAAAGGTGATGCGAGGAATCTGACACTGCACTGTTGCCCTTCTGTTGTCTTGTACCAGTCTTGCCACTCTCCGTTCTGCTCTAACATTGACTAGTCGCTGACGGCCACAATTCACACGTTCAGACCCAGATTTTTGGCTGACAGTCCAGTCTTTAAACACTTTAACAGCCCCTCTGGAGCATTTAACGCATTCTGCTGTTTTGCTGATACTCGCTCCATGGCGCGAGCGCCAACAATCATCCCACGTTCAAAGGCTGTTAAATCGTGTTGTTTCCCTGTATCTTCAGAAAAAAATCACTTCTACTGTCGTGGTAAACAACCTGCTTCCCTATTTATAATGGTCTGGCCCTCTAGCAACTGACAAAAGTACATACGCTGTTTTGAAAGCATGCTTTTTTAAAAACCAATAGCCAATAGAGGGTATCAATTAGTGCTTTACTCCAAACTTTTTTGCAAACTTTGAACAGATTCAGATTAGCTATATACAAAGATACAAATGTGGGTGTACTATACAGGTGCTAAACCTTTTGAATGTTGCTAATTCATTGGAAACTATATGCTCTCTCTACTAATTATTGCTTTAGAGTGGACACATGTTAGATAAAACCTGATAAGCCCATAATGACCTCAGTTTTAATAAGATAGACTGTCTGCCTTTATTTTAGAAGGATTTTTGCTGTCAAACACTAACATTTTATGGAATGTGGTTTTCTCTTTTGCAGGCAGAAACCCCTGTTGGTTATTTTCAGAGTTGGTGTTCCCCACTCTTACTACTTTTCTTTGTCTGCCTGTGCTGCTTTTCCTATTACTTTGTTCTCAGCAAATATTACTTTTTCTACAGCCATCCCTCTCTGCCACTTTGCTCATTCATTCTACAGATTGCAATTATACTGCATTGGAACTGAAGTAGTCAAGAGGATACCAAATAGGCTGTAGGTTACCATAGATACCTACAGGCTGCTGGGAGGACTCTTTATTTTTTAATATTTTTATGAGGAGATACATGGGAAAATGTTTGATTTTTTAAACTTAAAACTGCCTTTTTCTTTTGATCATTATATACAATTAAAATTATGGCAATATACTACCTTTTACGCCAGTTTTATCCTGGAAAGACTTTATAGGTTCTTCTTTATCGACACAGTAAGTTGATGGCAAAGGAGCACTTCTCTGTGTCACTACAGAATAAATAGGTGACTTGGAAGACAATTTGGCAGGACTGAATGGCTGTTTCTGATTTCCAGGCTCCAGAGGCCTATGGTAATAAAACAAATATCAAAACTCATATAACATATTTTACCAGAAAACAAATGCTAAGATCTAGTATGTTTCATACCTTGGAGTCTATTTATAAATATTCTATAAGGAATTTGACAGTGAATCTTTTAGAACAATTCAAACACATTTGCCTGGCATTTCGTACCCACATTATTTATCAGCACATTCACCTGTGCACCAGTCGAATGTAGAAAACTGTTAAATGTCCCAATATACTGTTAAAAAATCTTTTAACCTGGTAAGTGATTTACCAGAGCTCTCAATGGTGTTAAAAATGGTCATTTTAGAAAAAAAACAACATTTTAAAAGATGTGTACCCCGTACCCCTTCAGAAAGCCTCAGCCTGCACTCCAGGCATGCCAGCAGGTGTCCCCGAGGTAAGAGTACAGGGAGTCTGCAGCTCCCTGCCATGTTGATGCCAGCCCACATGCCTTTAAGAATTGAGTGGATGCTTTGAAATAGGTTCCACAAAAATGGGGGTATCCCTCCTAAAGAACCAATGCCCACAGGGGTGTTTGGACCCCTAACCAGTTCTGTGATGCAGGTATGAAAATGTGAATAAATAACAGGTTATATCACAGTCCATATTTGGTATTAGTCAAAGTATAAGCTAGTGCCTATATTTGGACTTAGTAGTAAAATAAGAATCATACAATTATTATTTTACAGTGTTTAATGTTTTTATTAATGTTCACACCTGCATGCAACAAACCCCTAAAACCAGTTCACCGTGTAGGCGGGTGACCACCTAACGTGTCCTTTATGGGGAGCAGGTAGATGGCACATAAGCCACCTCTTGCCACCACCGATGCTTTGATAGAGATGCCAGCATTTTTGGAAATACCTCTTAAAGCACCCTCCAATGGTAAAAGATTGTATGAACATGGCAGAGAACACTTGCTGCCACTTGCCATGGGTATACACAGCCAGCATGCCTGGTATACCAGTCTGGTACTTTTCATTTGCATTTTCATTATAAAATAAAATTATTTAACATTATCCCTGGTTAGTTGTTTACAAATGTGTTCAGTAAATGTCAGTGTTGAGGGAAAGTAACATTCACCCTTAGAAAAGTAGGATACATATTAGAGAAAGCAACTTTCCCATGCGAGAACAAATGCCAGTGAAAGTTTTTTTTGTGCTAGGCAAATGTTGGGAAAATATAGATGAAACTGTGCTTAACGTTGACCAATACTTTTCCCCTGATTTATGGGTGCATGTTACATTGAATCCTTTATAAATAGACCCCCTATTATACACCAATAACATAATGCATTAACATTTTCAAGGCTGTTAACACCTACAATAACTTCATTATACATTGGTCACATTGTTGGAAAAAAGAGGTAGTGCCTAGCTTTATAGCCCAATTACTAGTCCAGGTGTTTCCTGCACTAGGGATTCATCGACTCTGGTCTTGCAATGTATTTTGTACCAATAAAGTGAACTTGTATTGTGGTTTTGAACCTCTTGCAAAGTCATTTTGACATCTCTTATGTTATGATGGTAAGCCACAATTCAAAGCCATGCACTGAAGCATACCTTTTCTAAAAGGAACAGTTTAAAGAAGTGTCAATTCCAGATTACTGTAGCATACCAAGAATGGACATATAGTACAAGTAGCTAAACCTCATGGAGCCCAAGAGACAAGCTGACTCTACAGAGAAAGCCCATTGTGGCCTCCTGTGTCACCTAATCAGTAGGATCTCTCTATAATGCCACCAGAAACAAGTCAGGAAAAGCTCATAGGAACAGAATAAGGCCATTAAACCTGGTAATACCAAAGGAGAGATTCCTAAACAAATGGATCATTTAGGACAGGAATATTGCAGGAACAGAAAACCTATCTGTAACTGAAACAGAAACAAGCCAAATGACACCTTAAAGAAGAAGGAAATTGTCAAGAATGAGAGTAGGTTGGTAAGGCAACTATTAATGGTAATGAAGGGGAGTGTTCAGGTGAGGGGAGGGATAGTATTTAACTGTAGGTGACATGACCACTAGAGCCTCTAATCATCTAGCACAACACAACCAAGTTCACTAAATATATGTTTTGGTGGCGCACACAGCCTGATCCTTGACAACAATGTGCCATATTTGATTACTAACTTGTTCAAGAGAGAACTGACAGTTCCCCATTTCTATGAAGAAAACACATTTTTTTCTACTGAGTTGAAAAGAACTTGATGGTGGTGTGGGTGATAAATTCAAGTATTTTGTTATGCTTACCCATACTAATAACAAAACTGCCTGTCCATGGCAGGCTTAACCCAAAAATGTAGGATTACAGTGTATGTTCTATATTTACAGTTATAAATATTTATACTAAATAAGGAAAACTTTTATCAGCAAAAAGACAAGCTATTTGACATTTTATCTAAGTATCCTGAATACATAAAATGCCTGAAAGTGATAAGCGGATCAGAATCCGAGGAAAAGCTGTTTATTAGCATCTTTCATGATTACAAGACAAATATTAAGCACTGTTACCAGGATCAGTCGGGGTTAATATGACAGATCTAAAATCTAAATGCAAAATTACACAATTCTTTCAGCGAATAGCCTCATTCCAATATGCATAGAATGTCACCTGTGCTGCACTGATAACAGAACACACTCCTCAGTTTTTTGTCTGACGTGACATCTACTCAGTACTTCAGAATAGTTATCAGCCAACCTCTCAAGCACTTGTTACAGGCAGCTAACACTGGTGTGCCATTTCTCTACCTCCATGATATTCACTTTGGCTCCCTTACTGTTAACAATGTAGATGAACCGGAAAAAAGGATATAAATGTAACTGTAGAGCTTTACTCTCTAGAGGTATATCAAGCCCATTTATGAAAAGTAGTATAACATTTTTAAAGTAGACTTGTTTTATGCACAAAACTTTACGTTAAAGTTTCAGCAGGCTAGATGAAGAACTAAACATGTGTGGTACTTGCAAAGTATCCCTACCTTCAGGCTAGGTTCACACCTGGGCGTTTTTCAGCGCTGATTGAAGCCCTGAAAAACGCTCAAGAAGTGAAATCCTATTAATTGCTAAGGGCATGGTTCCCACCTGGGCGTATTTCAGCACGTTTAGCCGCGCTGAAAAGCGCCCTACGTGCGAAATAGTACTCGAGCTTCTTTGGGGCAGATTTCAGCGCGTATCCATTGGACTTCTAAATAGAGATTTCATAAACGCGTGTCAAATGTGCGCTTTGTGGACAGAAAATCACGTTAAAAACGTGCATATTACGAACGCCCAGGTGTGAACCCAGGCTAAAGCACCCCCTAATTGTTCAAGGACATTTAATGTTCACAGTAGAAACACTAAGGACCTTTCTCTTAGCAGCTTTGCTCCCCCCCATCCCTCCAGGAGTCATTGCAGCCTTTCAATGTAAACACACAGCAGGAGGTCTGGAAGGCTATAGTGCTTCTACTCTGAAATTTGAGGAAACATTTTTCCACAGTGTCTGCAGCTACGAAGATCAGTGAACACTTCTTTTGAAACCCATTTACTGTTAAATGTAAATAATTAAATGTCCATAGCCTGGCCATACATTCACTTTAAAACTTAACAACAATTAATACTGATGCATACTCAAGTGACATGCGATTTATACAGGTGAAACTCGAATAATTAGAATATCATGCAAAAGTAATTGCAGTAAGTGTGGGAGTTCCACTGACATGAAGACACATTTCCTGCCTGCTAAGCCGTATCCCTTTTCTGCCTGTGTCCTGGCTGACGCAAAAATCTGCACCTCCACTTAAAACTACTACAAAAAGTGCAAAGGCAAAGGAAGGAGGGCAAGTCCCACAAACACAGAATTTGCTGCTCCCATTGTTGTTAGACAGCAGAGGCCATCAGCTTCAGGCACAGAGCTAATCCAATCAGATCGCTGATTTACAATGCCAAGCCCTCCCCTTCCTCTTATAACAGAAGCTGGGGATAGAAAAGGAGCTAATGAATGAATGAGTCATTAATTCATTACTCTCTGGCCAAAACAAGCTGCAGCAGCAGCAAGAAATAATAAAGCATAACAACAGTTTTAACTCTTTGACCACCTTTCCTCTGTAGTATACGTCAGCTCCAATGTATCTCTGCACTGAGCTGTATATTAACCCCTTCACTTCTCCTATCCTGCACATCTGTACATTACCTCTTTATCATCATTCTCCCACTGTATGCAACCTGTGCAATAATCCTTTCACCTACACCTCCCTCTGTGTATGACCTGTACATTTAATGTATCTAATGCACCATTACCAAGCTCCATGTTTTAACCCCCTCAATACCGGCATATTTCTTCATTTGCAAATAATTGTGGCAAAACATCAGACCATCTTGGGGTGTCTACTTTCCCAAAAGTCATTTCAGGGGGTTTTGTACTGCACTGGCATTTTTATTTTCTGTGATTTAAAACAGAAAGCAAGGGAAACTGACTTTTTTCAGATTTTGGTCTTTTTCCTTTATATAGTAACAAAAATTGAGTACAGTGTGTGTCATAGAGTAATTCTCAGTCAAATGTTCACAGCACTGAAAACTGAAAAAATGGTCTAGTATAAAGGGGTTTAACATGCTGGCACTGAAGCGGTTAAATAATTGTTTGATGTTTTAATGTTTTATGTTATAAATTTACATAGCACCAATATATTTTAATATACATTACAAAAAAGACTCCACTATTGAGGAACATAGATACAGATGCAGACATCTACATTTACACCAGAGCAGAGAAGTAGAATACATTCTAGGTACACGCAGATTAGTTGCCAACTGGGTCAATTTAGACCTAATCTGGCAGATGATTGCCCTGTGTCTGTCACTCTATGATACCTGAAAGACAGATGTTCAGTTAATAAAAATATAAGGCAGAGTTTTTTCTGTAAAAAAAATAAATCAGAATTTAGGACATAAATCAAAATGTCTAAACTAATGACAAGTAATTCAATTGACTTGTTCAAGGTTTTAACAGCTCTTTCAGTATGC